GGGGGGGGGGGGGGGGCGGTGTCAGATATATTACTGTTAAATAAAAACCGTGGTTTCCCCTCCCCCCAGGTCTGATCCTGCTCTTCTACCTGATCTTCTACTTGTTTCTGGCCGGAATGTTTGTTCTCACCATGTACATCATGCTGCTCACGCTCGACGACTACAAGCCCACCTGGCAGGACCGCCTGGTCACTCCAGGTGAGAGAATCAAACACACGATACATCATGTGACTGGTGGAGACGACATAATGTTACTTGTATTACTATTACTTTATATTACCAATAGCTTATATTACTATTACTTACTATTACTATTTCACTATATTACTATTACTTTATATTACTATTACTTTATATTACTAATACCTTATATTACTATTTCACTACATTAATATTACTTTATATTACCTTTTCACTATGTTGCTATTTCACTATATAACTATTACTTTATTAATATTGTTAACCAGTTTGGGAAGTCCCATCATTCCTCTGTCCTTCATCAATCCATCATCCCTGCTCCATCCCTCCAAGCTGTGATTGGTTAATGAGTTCCAAGCTGTGATTGGTTAATGAGCTCCAAGCTGTGATTGGTTAATTACTGTGTCGCTAACATGTTTCAGGGATGATGATTCGTCCGAAGGGTGATCAGCTGGAGATCACGTTCTCTGTGTCAGAGACTGAGAGCTGGGACGGCTTCGTCCACAACCTCAACACCTTCCTGTCTCGTAAGACATAAACATTAATATTTATATTGATTTCATGTTTATGTGACTAAATTAAGTTTAGTTCAACTGTTATGATCAACGTCAACAGTTGTCTGTCTACCTGTCTCTCTAATGGTCTGTCTCTTCACCTGTCTGTCTGCAGCGTACAACGACAGCTACCAGGTTCAGACCAATGATTACTGTCCTCCAGATCAATACTTCATTCAAGAGGACAGTGGCGAGGTAAACCTGTCTCACTCTCTAGCTGTTTGAATACCTGTCTCCCTCTCTCTGCTCACCTGTCTGTCTCTCCACAGGTGAGGAACAATCCGAAGCGTTCCTGTCAGTTTAATCGGACGATGTTGGAGGACTGCTCTGGGGTCTCAGATCGTTTCTATGGTTACAGCAGAGGTCAGCCCTGCATCCTCATCAAACTGAATCGGGTACGTCGACCTCTGACCTCTTTGCGCTCTACGTGATTAAAAACATCCGAGGAGGAGAGTCCCTTGTTGACCAGCGGAGTAATGAACCTCAGTGCAGTGGTGCTGCTAAGGGGGGCCAGGTGGGGACACCTTGAATCAGTAAAAGACATAATCAGAATTTGTCTTTTTAAATTTTAGTTGTAGCACATAAGTCTAAACTGGATGAAAGTCAACTCAGTGTTGGGACCACTGTCCATTTTCACAGATTTAACTGATATGAATTGATGAAAGCCATGTGCAGTAATATATTGTGGATGTGATACATTGAAATGCATCGATGCATCGCTGTGAATCAAACCGTCTCTGAATCGTGAGGTGAGTGAAGACACACCTCCACTAACTGTCCTCCTCTGACCTGTCTGTCTACCCGTCCGTCTCTCCAGGTCATCAACATGCTGCCGGGAAAGGAGGGACAGTCTCCTTACGTCACCTGTGGAGCCAAGGTCTGAACCTGTCTGTCTGTACCTGTCTGTCCTTACCTGTCTGTCCGTACCTGTCTGTCTGTAACTGTCTGTCAGTACCTGTCT